TGGTATATATAAATAATATAAGTTAGTTACAAAAAATAATAACAATACATAATTATTCTTTAAAGATAATAATTTAAGGAGGTGAAATTTACCGGTGAGAGGATATAATTCCATGAAGCATGAAATATGAATAAAATAAAAAGTTTAGAGTTATAAAATTGATTAATTGGATAATAACAATTAAGAGTTATAAATTTTAAATTTTCAAAAGACAATAAATTAAATATTTATCTCATTTAAAAAAATGCAAATATTTATTTGTCTCACTAAAAATAAGCTTGCTTCCATTTTCACATGTTTTAAGAGCCTTTTTTTTAAAAATTATAATTTATTTTAGCTTTAAAAAAATATTCTCGCTCTTTGTTTCATTTTATAGAAAAGCCAAACTAGACCATTTTACTTTTTGTTCCACTTTAATATCTCATATAGAATTTTAAAAGTATATTAAAATAAAATTTCAATTTTACCCTTATTTATTAGATATAATTATTTTTGTATTTATATCTATTTTTCTTTTTTTTATCATTACTTTTAATTGTAGTTAAATTAAAATATTGACTACACACATAATTAAAAGTTTTTTTTATTTTATCATTGTATGAAAAAATTGAAATAGAAGTACTAATTTCTAATGGTGCTTAATATGAAATAAAATTAGGCATTAAATTTTGTAATAAAATTAAATGTGGAGTTTTGGAATGTGCTTACTTATAGAAAATTGGAGTATTTTTTAGAAAAAGTTTTTTCCAAGACAATTGAAGAAAATAGAGTTGCTGTATTCAAATCAAGTCATTTTCCTATTTAAGAAAAACTAGAAAAATAATTTTTTGATTTTCAAAGAATTTAAGAAGATTTGGAAAACAACTTTAAGTTGTTTTCTAATTAATTTTCCTTTATACAAAAAGGATATGTTTTTCAATTGTTTTTTTATTTTTAAAAAATGATATTTCATAAATTAAAATTATAATAATCTATAAATAATTTCTATATAGAATATTTTCATTGAAAAAAAATAGAAAAATTTAATGGACATAAAAAATTAAATTATGCTTTTAAAAAATATTTAATTTTATTATTACAAATATATTAATATCGCTTTATTTTTAAAACTATTTCATAAATAATAAAATTTGAATATCATTTAAATTATAAATAATCAATAAATAAAATTTAAAAATTTTTAAACAAACATTTTCTAAATTTATTTTATTATATTTTATTTCTTTAATTATGAAAGTCATGAATAATGTTTGTGAGTTTTTGAAACTTAAAATGTTATTTTTTATTATTACCAAGTGATATGCATTTTTCATTTTTCTGTTTATAATTTTTAATTTTTTAAAGAAAAACTATTTCTTAGAAATAAGAAATTTATCCTTCGTAAGTAAACACACATTTTAATTTTAATAATGACAATTTTAGACATTCTATCTGCATACTTGTAGAAAATCAATGTGTTTCCAATCATTTTTTTTTTAATTCTTAATGTAAAGATGAAAATGTTGCTATTAAAATGGAAGAAAAGTAATGTTTATAATTTTGTATTTTTTTCTCTATCGATAATATATATATAATACCAAAAAATGTGCTAATCCTATTACTAAGCGCCACATATGGAAATAAAGAAAAATTAATTAAACATTAAAAAACAAAAAAGACAGTAGCATGTTGGAGGTGGATTAAATTAAAGATCATTCGGGAATGTCGGCAGAGCTGTTTTGCTAATAAATTGCGGCTTCACGTCAGTATAAAGAACGAGAAGATTTTCTTTTGGTATTCAGAGGGCTCGTAATTTCACTAGCGTTTGAAGGTCGAATGTGACAATTTAATCATTTTTCAAGTGTTTTTGAATCACTAAGTCGACCCTCTTGTGATTTTTCAGATCCCTCATCTATCGAATCGAGTCTCTTTTACAGAATAAAGTTTTTTTCTTTTCAAAATTCGTCATGTTTTACTGTGAGGTTAATTATTATGACGGATCGATATGCTTTCTTCTTTGCGGTTTTGGTATTGCACCTTCTTTTCAACTTTTTTTGGCACATATTTTACATGGTTCTCATGATTTTAGGCATGTGTTGGCTCCATCTTCATCAGTTGTTTTTTCTCTTATTTAATATAAAAATTTTAAAAAGAATTATAAATCTATGAAAACTATAAATTTGATTATATTTCTTAATTTATGTGAAATTCAAACAAGACTAACTAAATAAAAGAAAGAGTAAATTTTATTTCAATAACAACCTTTCATTTAATACAAAATTATATTATGAAAGAATTATCTTTGAACGCCTTAACTGAGATCTAAATGATTTTTTTTATTAAATTAATTTAAAAAGTAAGTTTTAAAGCCTACATTAAATTAAAAAACAACCGTCTACCGCCCGTTTTTTATAAATGAATTCAAAAATATAGAAATTCATTTGTAATGAATTATAGTAGAATTCAATTCGTAGATGGACTTTTTATGTTTGAATATAAATTAATTAAAATATGTAAATTCACATTCAATTCCATAATAATCATATATGGACATAAAATTCTAACTTGAAGAAACTTTACATTTTGCTTTATTTTCTAAAATATTACTTGAAATAATAATTTTCACAAAAATAAATATAAATATCAATTAATATTTATATTATGCTAAATAATAAATTTTTATATTTTTGTTAAAATGAATATATAGAAAAAAATGAAATTAACTTGCCCATCTTAATTAGTTGATAAATATTAATAGTTTAGACTTGAAATTACTCTCCTCAATAAAAAATGTTAAATATATTTAACTTGAATCTCTCTCCTCAATAAAAAATGTTAAAAAATTTTAAAATAAAAGATAAAAATATTAAAATAAAAAAGACAATAATAAGAAAATATTTTTTCTAAAAAAATAATATTTTTAAATGGTTTTTTTGTTCAAGTTTGATAAAATAAATAAGTTAAATAAGTAAAAAAATTTGAAAATTAAGGAGAATGGTAGTTCTATCATAAAAAGTTAGATTGTTTAGTTTTATGAAATTTATTTGGAAATTTTATTTATTTTTGTGGAATTTTCAGTAGTTATATACTAAGTCCATAAAATTGAATTCCTCAAATTGAAATCCACATTTTTTTTCATTCCAAACACAAAAATATAGATTTATAATGAATTCCACATAGTTAATACATTCGTAGGGAAAAAGAAAAGATTTTATAATTATACATAATTTTTCTTATCTTTTCTTAATTATTAACACAATATTAATTAACGATTGCCTTTAGAGTACTTTTTAACATAATGCACATTTTAATTTTGACTAAAATTGCTTACAACAAAACTTCTTTCTTCCTTTTAAATTCTTAGGAAAGAAAACTCAAAACAATTTAAAACAGGAAATTAATTGAAGATATGGATAAGCTGGAACTTGTTGCAACTTATCATATCTGAATAATTGTTGACTAGATGGAGTTATAGCACTTCCAAAAATTATATTTTTATATAAAAATTTAGAGATTTCCATAGTTGTCAAACATGAATCGAATTAGCGGACTAATTCATTTTTTACTATTGAGGGAGAGATTCAAGATTCAAGGTAAATATACATTTATTGTTAAATTTAACGTAATAGTATTATAATATTGTTTTTATTTTATATACTTATTAGTCCTGAATTACGCTATGTGCAGATTGTATAATTTTCTATTTTTTTAATTAAAATGAATATAATTTTTAAGAAAATTATTTTAATTTATATTTGCTTTGCTTTAATTTAAATAATTTGTTTATGTACTTTTGATTAAATGATAAAAAGCAAAATTATAGGTTCTTTTTTAAATTCTTAAATATTGAACTGAAATATTAATTAGCACAATTAATTATTGTAAGCAAATTATTGTTATCGGATATATTTAGTTAGTTATTTATTTATTTATTTTCTTTGAAATTTTCATATATTCAATTAAATGAAGTATAAAAATATTTAATTTCAATGAAATAAATTTTAGTGAATTTGAAATTAATATTTTAATTCTATTTGTTAATCTAATTATATTATTTAATTAATTTTTATTAACTATCACTCCATTATAACTCCATTAGTTTTTTTATAGAATAAAAATTAATTAATAAAAAAATTTATATTTATTATAATGAAATCTTATTAGTTTTAAAAAAATTATTAACTCCATTAGTTTTTTTATAGAATAAAAATTAATTAATAAAAAAATTTATATTTATTATAATGAAATCTTATTAGTTTAATTGTAATTCTATTAGTTAATAAAGAACAACAGTTAATTTTTATTTAAATATAAAATATATTAATTACAATGAAAAAATAAAATGTTATGTCATCACTTTCATATTTTAACATGTTGCCACATAAGCATTTAGGTCTTGCAAATTATATATTTATATAGATAGATAGATATAAATAGATAGATTTTAATAAAAATATAAAAAAATTATATAGCATATCATAAATATAATATGTATTTATTATTTATTTTTGTGAAATTACGATTTCAAAGATAGTTTAGGAACAAAAGCAAAATAATTTTTAATTATTGAATTTATTCCATACATGATTATGTGACAATTGAATTATAATATTTTAAATTAATCATACCAAATATAAAAATTGATTCACAAATAAATTCTATGAAATGAATTTAATATTTTAAATTTATTTATACTGAATGGAGCGTAAAGCATTATCAAAATACTAAAAAAAAAATGTAAGCTTTTTATCATTGAAATAATTAAAGATATAAATTATGCAAACAACTTGTAAGTATTAAAGTATATACTTTTAAGAAATAAATATGAAATATAAAATAAAAATAAAAACATAATTTATTCTATAAAATATTAAAAATAAAAGAAAATAATAGACAAACGAGAAGCAAACAAACAAACAGAGGACCCCACAGAAATCACATTCTTCCGCCTCTCTCACTATTTATCTCTCTGGACATACAGTGGCCAATGAAGTCAAAACTCAGGAATTTCTTTTTTACCTGAAAGAATGCTCCTCACCAAACAGTAACAAAACCCCATTTCCTCTTTGTTACAGGGAGAGTGGTATTTTGGTTTTTGTTAAAAAATACCGAACAAAAATTTCAGGCTACGTGTAGTAGCAGACAGCACGCGGTATTTTGCGTAGAAACCAAACAGAAACAGAGAGAGATAGAAAGAGAGAGGGAGAGGCGCACAGAGAGAACAAAAATCTCTCGTATCATTTGCTGTTCATCACTTGAGTTTTCGTTCATAGATTTGTCTTGTGTAGAAACTAGAAACATACTTGGGTATTATTTTCCGGGAAAGTTTTATCTGATTCCGGGACAATAAGAAAAAACTTGGCCTAACCAAAATAAATCCACCTTTCTCTGTCTCGGATAGTGGATTTTCTCTGTGTTTATCACCGTCAAATCCTCATATCCTATCTTGACGTAACAGGGGAAAAAAAAAAAAAACTTAAACTTCAATAAACTTTAGTAACATCTTAAGTTTTTAATCGGAATAGCCAATTTCAAGCCTCGATTTTCTCTCTTTGATCATCCAATCACCATATTCCAATCGAAAATCAAAATTTTGATTTCTGGGTTCATTCCAAAATCTCCCATTTTCAAATTCCCTCTTCGTTTTTACTTTTTTTTCCATTATGGAAACCTCGTGAATCGATTTTCAGTTTCTGGGTATTTCCAAAATCTCATAATAGCAGAACTATCGCAATCACAAGAGAAACTCAACCGAGTTATCGATCCGGGTCATCAAGTCAAAATGAAATCCGTGTCACTTGATTACTGGAGGGACTATTTTAGGACGGCGAATTCTGATATTTTCAGTATCATCGATCATGCGATCACCGTTGCTGCTTCGGATTGTCCAAAGGAGTTCCGTTTGCGTAGAGATCGAATTGCAGAGCATTTGTTCTCTTTCAGATTGACCAGGTGCTCCGGCTGCAATCGGGTCGAGCTGGCGGTGCCGGCTCATGAAGGTGAGAATGATGATGGAGGCTACAAGAGAGGAGATGGTGGTAATTGTGTTATCGATGATGATGATGTATATACTGATATTGATGGATGTGATTTTGAGGCTGGAGGTAGTAAGGAGAGCAAGGTCAATGGTAGCTATAGGGATGATATTGATATGGATATTGGAGAGGTGAACGTGAATGATCAGCTTTTTAGTAATTATAGTTATGGTGAGGCTGAAGCCTTGAGTGATGAGATTGAGGAAGAGTCTCAGGTAGTAGGTGAAGTCTTGAGGATCAAAGACATTCTTCTCAACAGCCAAGATGAGGTATCCTTTCATCTCTGTTTTTGGTTTCAGTATCTTTTGATACTATTTGTCTTACATCTTCCCTGGATTATTGGATTGTTGAAATGTATAGTCTTATGCATCTGGTAAAGTGGATTCCGAGATTTTTTGCAGAATTGTTGTTGTTATTATGTTCTTTTTGTTTACGGTTATCTGGTGTTTGCTTGATGGTTCTTTTATTGTTCTTGTTACAGTCTGATTCAGTATTGTTTGAATCGTTGAGGCGGCTTCAATTGATGTCTCTGACTGTAGATATACTTAAGGTTTGATGCATTCTCTTTTCCTTTTTCTCTTGGAATACTCTGGAATAGTTTTGAAAAATTTTTTGGCAATTCCAGACTCTCTCCCTCTCTTTCTCTCTAGTTTCTGAATTAATGTTTTTGGTTCATGGAATAATGGAGCTGTCTTTTAACAGGCAACTGCGATTGGAAAGGCTGTCAATGGTCTTCGAAAACATGGATCAAAGCAGATTAGCTGTCTTGCTCGAGCTCTTATAGAGTATGACTATCAGCTTATTGCCCATGACTTTGAATTACTACCCGATTAAGATATTTTGATGTTGAATTGACTTTTGTTATCAATTTATTATCAATTGCCTTTTAGGATCATTTGGTTATTAAAATCCCCATATGTTCTAGTAAGGTTCAGCTTGATTTGTTCCAGTCAGAGCCGATTCTAACATTTATGTTAATTCTATATCTATTTTTCTAACAACAGAATTAATTATGGAGCTGTTATTCTCTAAATACCACTTGTGTTTTCGTGATTGTATATTTAGTGTTCTCTTTTCTATTTGTTGATAGATGTTTAAGATAAACACCTAGTCTAATGTTTTTATAGGATATGAGTCCTACCCTTTGCTTGGGCTACTTCATATCTTGTTAATTCAACTTGGCATACGAATGGGGCAATTTATGTTTGACCAAAATGAAGTTATGGGAAGGAGATTTAGAGACTCTTAGGCTCTTTAATATTATTTTTAGTAAATATGGTCTTTCTAGCCCGCTGTGTTGTGCATGCAAGTCACCAAGATTTTCACCGCTGCACGGAGATATGTGTCTAGTTAAGCATATAGATGAGAAAAATAAATTTGCTAACATTTTCTGGGTCCATTTGAGTGAATCAGTTAAGTATTTCCTGATGCTAGCCTTGGTCCATTTTCATTTTTGTGTTAGTTTCTGTTGAATGCAATGCTATGTTTTTCAAATATTTTTCAGATATGAAGTCTTACATATATCTAAACTAGCTTTTGTGGGTTTCAGTGGATGGAAGATTTTGGTCGATGAGTGGTATAATGCTACAAAGGTTTTCAAAGGTAGGAACTTATGCAGTCTGTATTATACTTTGCTGTATAGGCGATTCTTTTAGGAGTCAAACTATATCTGGATTCTGACTGTTCATGAGTTTGTAGGTGATGAAGGTACTCCTGACTCTGTTAATCCATCTGTTGTTGATGATGAGGAAGAAGAAGGGCTTCCATCTCCTCCATTAGATGAAGCTTTCTTTGCCACACAAACTACTGGAATAGAGCTCTCACAGGTATACATCTTTAACATTTCATTCTTGTTACGTTGGGATAGTAAATTTGCTTCAGGACTTCCAGTAATGGACTGATTGTAATTTTTGGATGTCACTATCACTGCCTCGTGCGAAGTTCTTTGATGGCATGGATGACTTTGGAAGTGAGTTGAATTTGCTACCTCTTATGCTTCTCATAGATAGCTTGTGCTATTCGGTTCTTTATTTGAATTCCCCACTTCTTAGATTCATAATTATGAATGGGGAATGTTGTTTCAGATCCTCGGAATTGTGGGGAATTCATCAAGAACCGTGAAAATGGAAGAAAACCATCGGTGGAGAGTCGAAATATCACAAAACAAAAACTGCAGACTCCTAATGAGGTAAATGTCATCGCCAAGGATAATAAGAGTCAACAAATGAGGAGGCAAGAAGCTGTCCCGAAGCTAAATAAGCCCTCACACACTGATTCTGGTCCTGGTAGACCTCCAAGACAAAGTGCCGAGCAAAAAACAAAAACTGATCCAAAGATACATCGAAAAATGGATAAGGTTACCAACCTGAGAAAGCCTCCAAGTGGTCAACAAGATGTAAGTATAAAAAATTTATAGCAGTTTTGATCTTTGTCACCAGAACTTTTATCTGACACATCTATTGTGCAACTAGAAATTGAAGTGTTCAGATGAAGTTGCTGAAATGAAGCTTGAAGTCACTAAAAGGAAACTCCATGAGTCTTACCAACAAGCTGAGAATGGTTAGTTTAAATCCTTTCAAAATTTTCTGTTTTGATAGTAGTTTAATCTGATTGGATAAAATAGACTTCAAACAGCTTGCTTGTGTCAAATATGGCAAATTGTATGCTAGATTGAGACTCAGAATTTCCATAAAAATTTAGCAGGTTGAGTATCTCTTGTAGCATATTCTAATTTCATTTTTATTGTAACAGCTAAGAAACAGCGAACGATACAGGTCATGGAGTTACATGATCTCCCTAAGCAGGGGCTTGTACATAAAAATCCGCACATGAGGCCGGGAAGCCATAACCGGAATTGGGCACATGGACGGCGGTTATAACTTTTAGCAGTTTTTATGCAGATTGGTTCAGTAGCCTTTCGAGTTTCTCAGTAGAAGGATATTAGTAACTCGAGGGGTGTGCTTCGACTTGAACCGTGCGCATTAAGAATAATTCTCTTTTAGATGAACAAGGCCATTGAGGTGTAGAGACATTTTATGAGGAAATCGTTGGGGTGGGGCATGTGCTTATGCAGAGTAGATTCTTGAACCTGGTTTAGTGATAAACATATCGACAGAAAACCTTGATTTGGACTTACTTAGATTGCTTCTCAACATTTTTTTCCCATTTTTAGTCAAAACTTTAGCTCCATGGGAATGGTAATAGGTATAATATATGAATTTGCACAGACTAATAAGTGCATTTCATTAAAGATGCTGTAGAAACCCTGATGTTTCAATATATAAGATTTTCAAAGTTTATCAATAAGTTTTTATTTAGTACCGGTGGTTGTGCTTTTGTATATAACAAATCTACATCTTCAACTATATATGCCAATGGATGAATCAAGCAGGAGTGATAGATATTATATGTCTAGAAGCTTGTTGGATATATGTTTAAATAACATACCAACTTTTAATCTTCCAATAAAATTTTATTTCGTCAAATGTTTGATTAATACAACAATTTAATATGAATTACTTAATTTGTATGAATATTAACACAATCGCATATTAGGGAAAAGTAAAGTAAAAATTTTAATTTAACTATTAATTAAATTATAAGATTTTAATTTATGTATAAGTCAAATCAGGACAAATTATAAGATGAAAAGAGTATTAAATATGAGTTTGATTACTGTTTTGTTTCCATTATGGCTTATTAGATTTTTTTTTTTTTTTTTTGAATTTTTTTTTTTTTTTTTGCTGCTTGTCAAACAATTTTTTCTTAAAAAAATTATAACAAATTAATTGAGTCGGAAATTCTTGATCTGCAAAAATGAAATTTCCATGCAAAAACAAATGGGACATGCAGGATACATACCACTTGATTGTCCTTGGAAGGTTAATTCTTTTGATGTGATTGTTACTTTATTCAATGTTATATAATTTGAGAAAACAGAAACAAAGGTCGTGTAGTTGATACAGGGCAATCATGAATAAATTTTTTTTTTTTTTTTCTGTTGTCAAAATTTTTTCTAAAAAATTATAACAAATTAATTGAGGGAAATTTGATCTGCAAAAATGAAATTTCCATGAAACAAATGGAAGTGAGGATAATACCATTGATGTCCTTTGAAGGTTAATTCTTTGATGTGATGTTACTTTTATTAATGTTTATTATAATGAGAACAGAAAAAGGTCGTGTAGTTGATAAGGGCAATCAAAATAAAGTCAAATGCTGAAATATGGAACACATGGAAACATGTCGGCTGGATACTTTAATTTCTGTGGAATTGCATTTTGACCAGAGAATTTTCTACTTGTTCTTCGGACACGTTTCCTTCTTTTACCAAACTACAAAGCAACAGCTGCACAACTACTTTCAAATCTTTAACTTATATTGCACAACTGCGGTATAGAGTTTTGGGTCCTGTTGGGCAAAACATTTTTATTAGCTTTCAGCATTTTCAAAGTATTTATGATAGTTTGTACAGATTGAGCAAAATTTTTACGAAACGTCGAAAATTTTACTGTTTCATAAAGTTAAAATAAATTTTTTTCGTAATCATATTCATTACCTTTTTTTTTAAATTCAGTTAATTAAATAATTAATATTTTTTTTTGTCATTTTAAATTACACAATTAATTAAACAATTAGTTTTATTAAATATTTTTATCAATATATAAATAATTATTTTTAATTTTTCTATCTTGTAATTAATGTGTGAATTTTTTAATAACAATTTTTAGGGAACCATTATTCTACCCAATGTGTTTATTTATAAAAAATTACAATTTCAAAATTATAACAAATATCTTAAAAACTTAAGGCGGCACAAAAATAAAATCTAAATTCAGATGCAATTTTACAAATTAGCTCATTTTAAAATAGAGAAGTACTAATTATTATTATTATTACTAATTAGTCAATATTTGATTGTTTAACTACTTTTGTTTTTATAAATTTTTTTTTTCATTTGCAAGAAGCTCGATGAGATCAATATATATATTCTCTCTGAGCTATACATCTTTTATAAAGCAGAGGATATGACTCATAAAAATAGGATATTTTTTATTAAATATATTTAATTTAGAAATACAAAAGCTACAGGTGCATTTAAGATACAAATATATATTAAATAGCAACAGAATAATAAAGCTTAAATTTATTTATTTTTAAATAAGATTATAATTTAAAACAGATAAAAAGAAATAAGTGTGCCTATGTTATGGTGTAAACAATAATTTGTATCTCTTTTTTCAATGAATGCTCGTATCCTTATTATTATTAATATATTTATTGCGTCTATATGTTAGTCTTATCCTTTAAAGATAAATCTACGTGTCACTCACATGTCCAAAGTAATTTCCTTCCTTCATTTTCTTTAAGCTGAACAAAAAGGAAATGGCAGTCGATGTTTTGTTGTTATTATATTATTATTACTATTACAATAAATTATTATATTATATATGCGCAGAAGTGGAACTTTGCATAGCCCCACTTTCTAAAGTGAAAACACCTTTAAAATGTCCAAAGGCTGATCTCTTTTTGTATAGAATAATTTGGAAGGTCATTGTAGATGGCACTAAGGCAACGCAAAAAGGACGAAAATAAATAAGATAATTTAAAAAGCGAAATCATTTAAGTCAATATTAAAAACTTTGTAAATAAAAAAGCATTTAAAATATTAAAATATAATCTAAAAATGAAATTCTGATAAATAAGATAAAAAGAAAATCTATTAATCAACCAAATGAATGAATGATGTGATTTTTATCTAGATAAGAGGAATTTGTATAATATATAAAATATGATTAGTGCATCACTTAATTATGTTTATTCATTTTAATATTTTCAAGTTAAAACAAGTCACTGCTTCCATTTTTTTTTTTAAAGCAATAAAAAGACATTCCTTTTACGTTAAAGGCAACTCCCTCTTTTTTACTAAAACTTAAAATCTAGAGTTAGTTCTCTTTTCTTTTACAAATGACCACCTCTCTTCTTTGTTTATTTTTTTTTGAAATATTCTCATATTTGTATATAGATGAGTGATTGTCACTCAAATATTGAGATTTGTTATTGTATATATTTTGAGATTTTATTCTCATATCTAATTCTGAGTTATTGTTGTCACAATTATGATGATTTTTTCTAGTATCTTTTGTTATTTGGATAATTATGTAAAAAGAAGTGCATATCTCTCGTTAATAGAAGGAAGAAATTTGAAGGTGATCAGATCAGATTTGTAGAAAAGACCATGGAATCGAACAGTAGCCATAAATAGCTATTAAGTGGAGCAAGTTATCCCCTATAACACAAATATTATACTCTGTCAACTTGATCAAATACTTCAAATCAATATTTTATTTTTTTTATTCTTTATATAAGTGGTTTATTATTAAACTTTTTATATAAAAATATAAAAACATATTGATCTTCCGTATCTGTATCTACTTTCCTATCAATGAAATTTCTAATTTTTTTTTAAAAAGAAATTTCTTTTTTATTTGTTTAATTATAAAAAAGCACAAGAAGGAATAAAAGAATTTTGATTTACCTAAGATATGGAATTTTTTTCTCGATTAAAGTTGAACGTATAGAATATACACTTACAATTTCTGTGACAATAAGAATATATACATCCGAATATATGCTGGGATTCTTTTTTTTTTTTTAATTATATATGCTAAGAATTTTAAATTTGTTAAAAGAATTTTTGAACTACATATCTTTGAGAAGATTATTGATATTGTAAATTTACCTTATTAGTGGTTAGGATTTAGGAATATTATTTTATATATTAGTTACTCTTGAGAGAGCTTATTTATTTAGTTACAATTTGACACATGGCATCAGAAGTTAATCTTTCTCTCCCCACAAATGATTACTTCTTCTTCTCTTTCTTTTCTTCCGTTTAATTTTTCCTCAGAAAACCCAAAAAAGAAAAATACTGATATATGATGTAATGAAATAATTTTCCTTCTTCATATTTATTATTGCATTAGATTATAATATTATTTTAATAAAATTTAAAAAATTTTATTATTCACCTACGTAGAGTCGCTTAAGTGACAAGAAGCCTGTAGCGGTTTTAATAGATGTTAGCTGTTATAATAGTTGTCAGGTGTTGCTGTTATGGGTTAGATATTAATTGCTATTGGTTAATTATTTATATAGCGATTTAAAATAAAAATATTTGGTAAAAATAAGTATTTGATTAACTATTTAATATAAAAAGTAAAAAAAAAAAAGATAAGGTCATAGAAATCAAGGTAAAGGCAAGTGATGTGCACAGGCGTCATAAAAAATTTATAAAATATTAAACATTAATGAGGATAACGTTCATGAAACACTACTTCAAACTTTAAACGATTAGGATAAATGTGATATACCAAACACAATAATTAATTAAAATTGTATTTTAACCCAATCAAACTACTAAACACTATTTATGAAACATTATCTCAAACTCTAAACGGTCTTGTAGAACAAAATAATTAAAACAAGGGGATGGCTAGCAGTGGCACTTGTCCCCTCCAATTTTAAAATTTTTCGAACACAATAATTAATTAAAACAGTATTTTAATCTAATTAAAATATTAAATACTATTTTTAAAACACTACCTCAAACTCTATTCAAACTCTAAACGCTTTTGTAAAATAAAACCAAGATACGCTTGATTTTAATAAATGCAGTGGCGAAACAAGGAGATGGCTAGCAGTGGGTCTTGTCCCCTCTAATTTTAAAATTTTCCTAAAATTTACTTATAACATATTAATTTTTTTTTAATTTCGCCCGTCTAAGTTTTGAAAATTTTTTTTATTCTCAAACATTTTTTCTGATTCCGCTATTGAATCAACGATTTATTTAAAGTCAAAAATTTGATCCGTAGAGAAGATATTTATAAAAAGAGTGAATTCAATAAAAAAAGATTTTTTTTATTATTCTCTTAGAGATAAATGATTTTTCTAGATTTATTGTTTTACAATAATCTTATTTTTTCACAATTGGTTTATGAAATTTCCATGCAACTTTTTTAGCGTTAACAACTCATGACAAAGTTGATATACTCACCAACTTTCAGGAGTAAGACGTTTGAAACCTTGAAAATGTGTCACGTGTTGCACGTGCGCTCCATTATGAAATCGTTGTTGCGGTGAAACATATTGACTAGACTACAGCTTAGAAATGGACAGAAGTCAAGTCAGGGACTCGATCAGGACTCAGAACTCAGGAGGCTGCATTTTTTACTGATTGAACAATTTTACATGCTTCGTTTTTTATTGACTTCTTACATTGGTAAAAAAATAATTTATTTTATAATTCTTTTTGTGA